CCCCCCCCCCCCCCCCCCCCAAAAAAAAAAAAAAAAACTCCAAAAGAAATGTGTTTATGTGTGTGTGTGTTGGGAGTTGGAAGCAAAATAGCTCACCAAAAGAACACAAAAACAGAGGATAAAAATCTGCTATACATCCACACCAATTTCACTCAAGAAACACCTCTATATTTCATCAAGAATGATCACAATATCAAGGAATACAAGGAGAATGCTTATCTGAAATTTTCACCGGTAAACATTCAAGAAATACAAAGAAATAGAGCTTCTTCTCTTGAACAGGCTGCTGTTTTTTACTGACAGCATCACACAGTTTTTTTCACTCTCTTTGTCTCTGTTTTTTCTGCAGATACACTCCCTGTTTTGGGCAGTAACTCCAGCCCCTTTTATACTAATTTTTCCTAGCCAAAACACCTTGAATCTGACCACTTAATGGCCTGCTGCCTCCAAGAAAAAACTGTTCAAATTCCCATGAAACCATGCATGAACAAGCCTCCCAAAATATTCTGGACACTTCTAGTAACTATCTCTTCAAATACCATGACTTTTCAATACCCAAAAATACAAAAACTACCCTTTAAGAATTAAGTTTATAAAAACTAACATTCCCCCTTAAACTCAATTCCTTGAGTTCTCATGCCTAGCATCATTTTCAATTTTCCAAACACATCATGCTTTAATGGCTTTGTAAAAATGTCGGCAACTTGATCTTGAGNGTTAAGAAAAATATCAAAACAATTAACTGGGTATTAAAAAAGGACATTAATCCATAGTATTCCAGAGTACCACCATACCAAATAACGTTAACAAAACCATTCAATTCATGATTAATGAAAAATAATTCCGACTTTACTAAGAACAGGTGGGATCAAAAAAGAGACCATCATTACACTTATCCATCAGAACCACATTCTGGAAATGCCAATACAAGTTATGTGCACAACAAAATCATAATTCAAGATGGTTGATTGTCTTAAAAAATTTTGGGGACGAAATAACTTACAAAATAAAAGATTGCAGTCAAGATGCTATGACTTCAGAAAAGATCTCAAGCNAGCCAATGCCATCGCCGATCTATTATCAACAAGGATCTCCATGGGAATTTCTTGAGAAAATCCCAAATAATTCAACAAGTTCCTCAACCAAATAGCATGACACACTGTTGAATTTGTAGCCACATACTCCACTTCACACAAGTAAAAATTGCTTGCTTCTTGGATGACCAAGTAAAAGCCGTATCTCCCATAAAAAAACAATAACCCAAGGTACTTTTCCTTTCATTCAAGTCTCGTCCCCAATCACTATCCGAATATCCAACAAGTCTAAATCATTAGTGCAAGAATAAAACATGCCATCATTGAGTGTACCTTTAATATAACGTAAAATCCTCTTCGCTGCACTAAGATGAGTTTGATCCGGTGTTTCCATGTATCTACTAACCAAGCCAACTCCATAAAGAATGTCTGGTCTTGTGCAAGTAAGATACCGAAGACTTCCAACTAAACTTTTAAAGTAAGTTGGATCAACATTTCCACCACTAATGCTCTTCCTCAATTCCAATCCAATTTCTACGGGTGTGTTCACCGGGTTGCAAGAATCCATCTTGAACTTCTTGAGCGCTTCCTTTGCATAGCTACTTTGAGAAATAAAAATTTCGTCTTCACTTTGCTTAACCTCAATCCCAAGGAAATGAGACATTAAGCCAATATCAGTCATTTCAAACTCTTTCACCATACTTCTCTTGAATTCACCAAACATCATTAGATCATTGCCGATAAAGATCAAGTCATCAACATAAAGACAAACAAACAGCACACTTCCATTGTCATCCATCTTCATATATAATGCATGCTCATAAGGACACTTTTGAAAACCATTCTCACGAAAGTATTTGTCAATTCTAGCATTCCATGCGCGCAGTGCTTGCTTTAATCCATAGAGAGCTTTTCTCAACTTGTACATTTTATCTTCATGTCTCTTTTTCACATATCTCAAAGGTTATTCAACATAAATCTCCTCCTCAAGAAATCCATTCAAGAATGCCGATTTCACATCAAGTTGGTAAATCTTCCACTTGTTTTGTGCCGCCAAATAAATCATCAACCTAATCGTTTCCAAACGAGCAACGGGAGCCAATACCTTGTCATAATCAATTCCAGCCCTTTGCTTGTAGCCTTTAGCAACCAACCTTGCCTTGTATCTTTGGACTTCACCATTTGCATCCTTCTTGGTTTTATATACCCACTTCACACCAATTGCTTTATGACCTTGGAGAAGACTAACCGGTGCTCATGTATCATTCTTTTCAACTACCTTTATTTCTTCATCCATTGCTATTCTCCTTTTCTCTTCTTGAACCACTTCTTCAAAACATAAAGGATCACAATCCATGAACAAACAAACAAATTCAAGTTACCTTCAAAATTTTTTGTAGATTCATAAATCTCTTGCAAACTTCTCATTTTTCTTGATCTTTCACTTGAACTTGAATCCGATGATAAAGATGATGATGGTGATGATGATGATTCTCCTGTAGAAGATGAGGGGGATCCATGTGGAGGTGTCTGTGGCTCTCTTTGGACTTCCCTTGGTTCTTCAGACTCTTCTTCTTCAAGCATAAGTTCCACTTCGGTGGCTGAAACTTTTTCTTTCCAATCCCACATGTCTTCCTCTTCAAAGATTACATCTCTAGTCATAATCACTTTCTTGGTAATGGGGTTGTATAACTGGTATCCCATTGTTCTATCACCATACCCAAGAAAAATGCATTTTTCACCTTTATCATCAAGCTTTGTCCTCCTTGCTTCGGGAATCTTCGCATAAGCATTGCATCCAAAAACTTTGAGATGAGCTACACTTGGCTTGAATGAACACTAAGCTTCCTCCGGGGTCTTGACACGAACACTTTTGGTTGGACATCGATTCAACAAGTACACTGCACATGCTACAACTTCAACCCAATATTCTCTAGGCAATCTCTTTCCTTTCAACATGCTTCTAGCCATATCAAGAATAGTCCTTTTTTTTCTNCACTCAAGAAACACCTCTATATTTCATCAAGAATGATCACAATATCAAGGAATACAAGGAGAATGCTTATCTGAAATTTTCACCGGTAAACATTCAAGAAATACAAAGAAATAGAGCTTCTTCTCTTGAACAGGCTGCTGTTTTTTACTGACAGCATCACACAGTTTTTTTCACTCTCTTTGTCTCTGTTTTTTCTGCAGATACACTCCCTGTTTTGGGCAGTAACTCCAGCCCCTTTTATACTAATTTTTCCTAGCCAAAACACCTTGAATCTGACCACTTAATGGCCTGCTGCCTCCAAGAAAAAACTGTTCAAATTCCCATGAAACCATGCATGAACAAGCCTCCCAAAATATTCTGGACACTTCTAGTAACTATCTCTTCAAATACCATGACTTTTCAATACCCAAAAATACAAAAACTACCCTTTAAGAATTAAGTTTATAAAAACTAACATTCCCCCTTAAACTCAATTCCTTGAGTTCTCATGCCTAGCATCATTTTCAATTTTCCAAACACATCATGCTTTAATGGCTTTGTAAAAATGTCGGCAACTTGATCTTGAGTCTTGCAATGCACCAACTTCACTTCTCCATTTTGCACCTGCTCTCTAATAAAATGGTAGCGTGTATCAATGTGTTTACTCCTCTCATGGAACACCGGGTTCTTAGCCAATGCCATCGCCGATCTATTATCAACAAGGATCTCCATGGGAATTTCTTGAGAA